AAGGGAAGAAGTGGCCCTGGTGGCGCCATGGATAGCGCATTCGCCCGGAAAGGGTGAGTCGAGTCCCGCCTGGGGTTAAGAAATTCGCCCCTGGGTCAGCATTCTTGGGATTGCTTACCTTTTGAGACACAAGCCCTATCTGGCTGTCAACAAGCACTGCTTCAGTCCTGATCGTGTTGGCGGAACCTTTCATCTGAAAGAAGATTGTGAACTGATCTTATTCGTCGCCACTGGACACTAGTGCTTGAGAATTCGATTGGACTATAACTAATCTCACCATTCCCTTTTCAATCGTCAATTCAAGAATGAACTCCGTAACGACGTTTATGCTGACAACTACACCACGATCTACGTTAGATGCAGATTTAGTGAGGATCTGAAGAAAAAGGATAAAGTCCTTATCAGAACATCTACTGCTATACTTTAATACAGTCTTTTGCGCTGGGGCGTGTCAAGGAGGCTGGGTATGGCGTGCCTCCAGCCAGCTTTCCCCCGATTGTAGTCGCCTGCTTGCTTCCAGAAATGGTGCCGAAAGGGCTGGCGCCGCTACAGAGCTAGCACCCCTTCCCCCACCTAAAGGCCCCAGTATCCGCAGCGAGCAAGTCTGTACCAGGTATATTGGGCTAATCTCCGGCGAAACTAAACCACGTCGTGCCTGCTTGTCTAAGCCTCTCACCGAGACAGAGTGACATGTCCTGACATGCTTGTCCATGTCCCCCGTGTCCCCTCGTTGAGTGGTACCTCCTCCCCGAGACAAATATCGCACTATTCATTATGCGCAGATGCGACGATGCGCAGTGGTAACCTTGGGTAACAGTTCTATTTGCTGCAAACGCCATCAACAGCGGAAGCGTAATATCGGTATTCAGTGGTACACTTAAGCATACTACTATATAATGGTAAGGGAAACGATTGCAATTACAAGTAATGAGCCACTGTAGGAGCAGACGTAAAGGTACCTATCATGGCCCACGTCATCTTTAAAATAATGACTTCTGTGTGAGCATCAAAGCCAGGCTGTGAAACTACAGTCCATATATCATCGCTTGCGGGGCGTTTCCACGGGTGTAGGTTAGGACTCCACGAGAGGTCACGGCTGCCATGTTTCGCCTCGCCGCGCGCGGCGATTGCTGCCGTGATTGGACGAGACCCATACAGTCGTGCGATTAAGATCCCGGTCCCTTCACATAGTTCTGGCATCACGCAAATCTGCTTGGCATTTTGCCAAACCATTCAATGGGACGTCAATATTTTTGAATGGCAGCTGTATTTATTCAACGGATTGCTGTATTTCTTTAATACTACCTACTTTTCCCGTCTGGCCGCAAATCTTAGGCCCTTACAATACCTTACAATTGAGGCAAAAGAAGGATTCACCTAAAGTGAATTTTTGTAGATTGCTGATGTATTCTCTAAATATTATTTCTATGTAAATGGACATTGTTTTATACTAATAGTTGAACATCGGGCCTACTCCTTTCATAGTTTTCACACCTGCAAGTAATAAAGCAGACTGTTGGAAATCTCATGGACTATGCAAACGCCGCGCACATAGCGAAAACTGCCGCGTCGCGGCGGCAGGCTGACCTCTCGTGGAGTCCTAACCGTTGCCCCCCCCCACCCCGGAATGTTCTTCCAATACTTGTTATTCGGAGGTAGTACTGAGCGGTTCCACTGCCGACACCTGAAATCTGTTCTAAAAAGTGACTGCAAAATAAAAGATACTGCGTTCTTGGTGCATTGATTGGCGGCCGCACCACCTCGTTTTCACACTTACTCTTAGAATTTATAAGAATATTCCCCTTTACAGCAACCTCATTGCGCGGGGTCTTATGGACAGTAACACATGTTCTTTAGTCATCCACTTCGAATTATCAGCAATGACGGAGGCCCGAACAGCGGTCCGCTTCTTAAATAATCAACACCTGACAGATCACAATGTCGCAGGTAATATAGTGAGGAGTGGGGGCGAACCTGCCAGGAAGGCGAAAATGTGGACGCTACTGAGGCCATTACGCTAACTTAATCACAAGTATGGATGAAGGGTTCACAAATAGCTTTCGGCTGTGAGCAAACGATGGTACTAGTTCACTCAAGGTTGAAGGCGACTTTCGCAAGCGAGCTATTCCTTGGCACAGTGGTCGACCCTGGTCAGGTCCGGCTTTGTGGCTAACCAGGAAGGTTCGGGTTCGCATTCTACTGCTTCTTCATTTTGTGGCCACATAACTCATACTTGATGTAATTAACTGAGTGAATGATCCGCTACTGAAGTAGTTTTTTGTGCCAGAGACGTCAATGAGCCTTTGATTACATCGACCATCTCTCTGAAATGGACAGTTAACCACATTGAACGGCCGCGGCTGTTTTTGCGGCGACCTCCCGTTGTTTTGACTTCCCCGTGCGGGCTCCGCGGGCGTGTATTGAATGGCCATACCGATGAACGCCTGCGAAAACTGGAGTCTTTTGTTGCGGCCATACCCCTTTTCGCACACGCCTCATTGCTGGTCACTTTTTGCGTCATTTACATTTGTTCAGTCCATGCTAATAATGAGCTTATTTTTGCTGCATAAAGATGGATCTGCACAAGGTCGGTATGAAAATTCAAACCTCAGTTTTCTACGACATAAGTATTGGGTTGGCCCACAAGTAATTGAGTTTTTTGGTCAAACAATTTTTTATATGAAATAACGACAATTGTTCCCAATATGTTCTACAATGTTTGATAGATAATTTCCTGCTCCTAATTAGTTGACTTAGCAGGTGGGAAAATTATCTATCAAACATTGGTAGACTATTGTTGTGTTGTTCCCTACAGATTTTCATGTTTTTCGCGTTGATTTGTGTATTTTGCAACACATGGACAAATTCGCGGTCGCCGTGGGGGGGCATCTGGTTTGCACGGATACTCGTCCCTAGGTCTTGGGACCTTACCTCGAAACGGATAGGTGATGGTTGATAATGACAAGGAAGTATTCTAAGACCTTTGACGATTTCTCTACCCTTGGCATGATTCTCATTTAACAAGGTGATTCCGTAAGCTTTCGCTTTTGACAGACTAGGCATTGAGGTTCGATCTTGTCGTGTGGGATCCGAAAAAACCTGAAATCTGTGCAATCGCTTTGAGAGAGGATTTCTACTATATCCTACGAGACGTAGCCTGTTTATGCCATATTACTTACCAGCTGGACCCATGCGGTTTTAGCTTTTTTAATTAGGGGCATAAATGAGAGGCTGTCGAAAATGCTCAATTTCGTTAACCTGACACCATTTTTATCACTGAAATACTAATGGAAAAAGAAACTTGAAGCAAACTAGGAATACTATTCTGTGGGCAAGGAGCTCTCTGCCAAGTGGTATAAAACCCAGTGGAGAAACTCTTCTTCTTCAGCGCGATATTTTGAGTGAGAAAAAACGCCATTACTTATGGGGCGACCCAATATTATTATCATAACGACTTAAACACTATCAAATGTATTGTAAATTAACATTTGTAATTATCACTAGAAGTCTTACTACCATTGCAGTGATGCGGAGCAATCATAAGAAGTGCAATTACTTGAATGTTATTTTGTAATGTTAATGAATTACCCCAATGAGCAGCTTATTTCACGCCATCAAGAACTAAGCATGAGTAAAGCTCACTGAACATATACTCGGTGAGAATGGTTCAAGTCGCACTATTATCCACGAAAAAACCGACCCACAAAACGTGAATTGTGGGCAATACACAAACGCGAGAAACGGGAGTATGCGCGTGTATTGATATCAATTCACGCGGCGTTCAATGTGTTAAGCAACCACGAGGTATCTCTTTTCGAGCCAAGTTAGCTCGAAAAGAGATACCTCGGTGTTGACCTTAACTGCCAACCAGTTTCATCGTACTCTCATAAAGTCTAATGACTGACACTTCCGACAAAATGAACGCTGTGCACTCGCTCCTTCCCTCTGTGCATCCACTAGCGCGCCGTACATTGATTGGGTTTTGGCAAAATATGTGATTCTCCAATGGAAACGTCCGACGAGCAGAGCCGCGCTAGATGTACAGTTCTCTTCGTTGCCGCCAGGGCACGCCATCGCGTTGTGATCATTTTCCGCTGAATATGACCACCCCCCCCCCAAATAAGGGTCTTAATACGACCCTTCCCCTGTCACACGCCACTATCTTATTGTGGGCGTGGCGTTGATCTGCGAAGTGTTGTCAATTTGGGGTAAGACGGAACGACAGAAATCTACATATATGACCCCGGCAAACATAAGTATCGTCGTCATCCGGGCAGTTGATTAGCCTGCCCCAGGTGTCGCGACGCGGCTGCAGCGCGTCACGACGTGGCGATCAGCTGTTTCCACCCTAATTTTGCAATTTTTTCCTAATTTTCACTGCATTTCCTATTTTTTTTCCGAGATGGTTTATGTTATTGTCTTTATGAAATGTACTAACCCGTAGATTCTTTCATTTTCTGTAATGATGTGTTTTTCGCGATTTTCTTTAGGCATTTGTCTAATTGTTTGTTTAATCGTTTAATTGTTCGCAAATGTTATAAAAATTCCAATTATAATTTACCTTGTGAAGACAAGGAACTGCTAATCTTGGAAAAAGCAGCCAAAAACAGTGAAAAGTAGGGAAAATGACTAAATTAGGCCGGAAAAAGCAAATAGTTCCTACGCACGCGGTCGCTGCTGCAGCCGCGTCTAGGACTTTCTTAAAGACACATGGTACGCTCACACACATTGAGGGTGTATGAGACTATCAGCCCCCCAGCTGTCGATGTGTCGTGGTCCCCCCGCCCAAACATGCCCAGGAATGGAGATACGTGACAGATCGGTCTGCGGCCCGTTAACAACCGCCCTAATCACTGCCCGGATGACGAGGTTATGTGATGGGACGTGACTTGGAGCGAAGCCAGAGCAACCTTTCCACCACTCCTGTCAAGCTCAGGATGGCATCGGTGGAAAGGACCGCTTCAATCCATGTTTCGTCTTACGCCCTACCGTTTGCAGGGGTCATGACAGTAAGTAGCATGCGTACAAGAGGGGATACGAGCAATGCTGACGATGACTTTTGTGCCATACCATCAACACTCCACACAGCCGCCACGCTCACAACTCACTCCGCGAACACGCCCTTTCTACCTGCTGCGGAGTGAGCTGCTCCCGCCAAACTCCTTGAAGACCAATTAAAAAAGGTCTATCCTTCACACACTGGTTTTCGATTCCGGATCGCAGCAGCTTAGCGCTAAGGAGACAGGAAGGTGGTTTCCTATTTTTGTTCCCTTCTTTTCACATTTCGTGAATACAAAAAGAAATTTTGACCTTTAACAACATGAAAAGCAACTTACATTTAGTGAAGCGTTGACGAAAACGACTGCTTGGCTGTCGTATAAAGAAATGAGTGGAGCTGTAAGTGCAGACACCTGAATCAGGCTATTACTGCAGCACAGTATTCAATAGGCAATGCTGTGTACACATTAAATTAGGTACAGCACCCTTGGAGGAGATCATCCAAACACGGAATTGAAAGAAATAGCAATGTCGCTGTACGAATATGGCCTAGTGGTCTGACTTACCTGCGCTACTAGAGAAGAATTTGGCATCGCTTCTGACAGTTCTGGCAGCACTGAACCGATGCATAGCACATCACATTGAGTTTGCAGAAAAGGACTTTCAACTGTGGTTCTTAAAAATTGTCAAATCAGAATGGAAATGATATTGGAGCCTTTCTCGAAGAACGAACAAGAAGTGTCCAGTGGAATATGCAGCCTTCAAGATGTTTTGCACTGTCTCCTCCTCCACAAATATGGTAATCATCCGTGTTGAAGGTATGTCCGTATCTGAAAGAGCGAATGTGTGAGGCGCTTAGGTCAGAAAGATGCCCGATATTCACATACCATCTGCATAATTGATGAGCTGCAGAGCCGTACCTTCAACCTCCCCACCCCCCCCCTTTTCCCCAACGCGGGGTATTGCCCATGGTAAAAGGACAAGACAATCGTGGACTGCCGCGCTGTCACGGGCGACGCATCGTGCAGCAGTACGCGACTAATACTCAATGCACCTCAGTTTGTCGGCTGAAACAATTCTTGTGGATTCAGGTGGAGGCAACACCACTACTTCCTGTCTTTTGAAATGTTATACTCGTCCACAGAGAACATACCACTTTCGTCCCTCAAAACGGCGAGATAAAGAAGTTAGAGACACGTGAGCGTGGCAACGCGTGCGACATCATACTGTAGCTGTACGAGACAACGGCTCACAAGCTTCTATTCCTACAACACCCGCGCGGCACGTGTCGCGCGCGGCGCTTCTGGCTTGTTGCATCTTCGGTGATCCGCGCTTTCCATAGCGATTAAGCGCAAACCTCGCACCGTTGGACATAAATTGAAGACGACTTAGGCTGTTTTAGGGTTCCATAGTCTTTGCAAGCGCGATTCCAATTAGGAGGATGTGAACAAAAGAGCAAGCCTTTCTTGAGTTTCATACTCTGCAAGCGATGGGAAGGACGTGAACTGAAGAGCAGGTAGTTCGTCTTCCATACTCGTCGCAAGAGGAGGAAGTGAAATGAAGATTTCTCAGACTCCCCTAATGATCTTTAGATGGAGGCACTATTCAGTTGTTACTACCCCAATCTTCCGACATCAGACCAGTTTTACTACCGAGCTTTTTGAAAAAAAGGCTGAAAATTTTGTTCCCAGACCTTCAACCTCCGAACACGAATATCGCATCGCTTGGCCAGGAATTGCCTGGCGCTCACGCCACGGTCCCACGGCTCAAGCTTTGCGCTCCAATCGCTATGGAGAGCGCGTCCTTCACGTCCGACATACTCGTCCAAGACGCCGCCCCACTGCTGAGGGGAGGTCTGTTTAGGGTGTTCCCGAGGTTTTTTCGCTTCTCTTTCTAGTGAGGAGCTACTTATGGGCACAACTGAGCACCAACTACCCGTAATCCTTGATCACGGGAATTGTCTTTAAACTCGAAAGGTCGGGCAGGACAACTCGTTTCGCGTTCGCAGCGTTGCTCACCCTGCATAACACGGCATATCGCGATTCTTTGTCACATATCTCCTTCAACTCTGTCGAGTTCTAGTTTATCTCCTCTCACGACCACAAGCGCTACTGGGGCAAGTAATAGGGCTAGGCTTGACGCAGCATAGCCCGTTTTTCAACGATTGCTGGCGCTTGCCTGCTTTAACAGTCAGTGAAGAGCTGAATGGCGCTGCACCAAACCCAGCCCCCTTCTTGAAACGCCCAGTGTCTGCAACAAAAACTACTGTACTCACCATTGTCAATCAGGGATACGTCTTCGCTGTTCATAAGATCACCATTCCAAATCAAATCGCTACGCATTTCCAAGTCGATGTGTTTTCGGGACAATACAACCGCTTCGAGCGACTGTGTGAGGACAACCTTAGTAAAATGCGGTTAAAAAAGAAGGTAATGTGTGATAAATGCAGAAAAAAACGCTACACACTTCGGGATTAGCTCGATTGAGTGTCAGATT